TTGTCTGAATTTTTTAAGAATGCATTCATAATTACTCACAATAATTTTTAATTTAAAAAGTTTGATTTAGTAAAGACTTGACCTTAGATGCAATTCAAAAAAAAAAGAAGCTATAAACTACAATTCTCTGTGACTACTGCTTTTTTTTTTTTTTTTCTTTCAGATAGATGCAATTGAAGTTAGTAACACAAAATAGCATCTCAGGCCAAACCAGTGGTCAAAGTTGTCAGCCGTTGGTCTCCAAGAGAGACCCAAAGCACTTAGTGATATCCTCTGTGGGTGGAGGACCAGATAAGAGGAAAGGGTGGGGCTTATAGGGCTGAGCCAGGCAGATGCTGATGACAGTGGCCTCATACCCAGGGACCTTTAAGAAGGGCATTGACAAACTGGAGTGTGTCCAAAAAAGGAAGGCTGGGCACGAAGCCTGCCTGTGAGGAACAGTTGAAGAAAGTGCTAATGTTTGCCTTGGAGACAGGGTAATGTAGTGAAAGAAACCATTGTTACCCTCAAACCTTTGATGAGCTGTATAAAGGAGAACAAAGCAGGGCTGCCCCAAGGACTTTCAGTTCTTACAGAACTGAAATCACACCACACAGAGCTCCGGGAAGCCTTACACTGATTGCTTTCACTGACCTGGGCTTTGTTTTTCTCTGAAGTTATGAAAATATTTGCAGTCATAAGGATCTAATTTTTTTTTTAAATAGCATGTGTTACTAAACAGCATGTCAAATTGGGTATCTGACAAAGGATGAAACACTTCAATAAGCTCCATCCAAAACTTAGTGCTATGTTTGCTTGATGTTTTCTATGCAGAATGACCTTTTGCTCAGAAAACATGAATGATCTACAACTTCACCCAACCCAGGAGAAAACCTTTGTGAGATGTGAATCAAACTCTAAAAAATTGAAGCGAAAGATCAGATGAGCTTTAATGAAGACCCAGTGTGAAGAATAAATGATTTTATTCCTTATCTGGAATTGTTGCCTTGTTTGAAAACCAAAGTTATATAAAGAAACTTGTATAAAGCTTTAATAGATTTAAGATTTAAAGGGGAGCACATTTCACTGTTATAAACTCAGCTTTTTAAAACTATGTGATGTAACTATGTTCAAATATTAGTGTAACCAAAAATTTCCCAATTTTATGTCTGACTGAATGGTAATATATGCAAATAAGTACAAATGTAAGAGCCATTTTAGATCCGTTGTTCTAATTTAAAATGCCTTTTACAATTAAGTCAAATTTCCCATATTTCCTTGCTAGTTTGTTCTGTTCAGTTTTTTGAAGCATGCTGGAAAGATACTTCTTTATTATATAACTAGCATTTCCATAAAGTGAAATTCCGATTAATCACAGTTGTGTGTCCCAAAGTACACACCTTTTAAGACCATTCAGCTCACCAAAAGAAGAAAAATTCTACTTAAACTAAAAGTTACCATCATACGAATCATACAGTTATTTCACTGAACCAAACCAATTATAGTAGAATTCTCCTAAAACTACTGATGATAACCATGAAAGCTGAAGAGTTGGTCGTTTTAATGATTAAATTACTACTGAAATACAATTTTCCTCTTTTACTAATGCTTGCCACAAAAGCTAATGGAAAACTTGGAATATCTCAAAGACTTAGATAGCAAATCTCAAATGGACCAATAAACAAATTAATGATGTTTTGACCAGCAAACTCCATCACAGAGCATGTGAAGGAAATATTAGATACATCCCTTGGATGTAAATCCCTTGGATCTGTGTGTCAAGTAATTCAGAGAGGAGGAGCACACTATACACGTTCAACAACCTCACCCGACACTGGCATAGACTCAGCTCTATACAGCTCATAATTCATGTGCTCTTCACCAGAGCAGGGCCCCTGGAAACAAAAGTCCTGAAGACATACCTGCCTCTGATGAAATCAATTTAAGAGGATCTTGCGTGATTCACTTTTATTTCCCTTGGAAAGACCCGCGAAACTGAAGGATATGGGGGAAGAAGGACAGCTGGGTCAAGGTTGTACTGTGTCCTGCATACTAATCTTGACTACAAAAGCACCTGACCACCCTTTTAGGTATTGTGTGTGTGTGTCTAGAAATTACAGATATTAAAGTGAACACTGTTTCCCATCATGTCTAAAATACTAAGATTTACAATAAAGTCATGTTTGTGTCGGATGGGCATGTTTTCTCATTGACTATCCAGAGGGAATTTAAAATATCACTTTTTGAACATACTCTTTGCTATATACCCCATAGAATCTATGCACAAGTTGAACAATACTCCTGTCAGCCTTGAAAACATCACAACGAGAGACAGCCCAAATACCCACCCATGCGGTGCATAAATGAACAGTGGTATATCCTTACTCATGGTTGTTACACAGCAGTGAAAAAGGTGACCCAAAGCTGCACACACAACAAGAAAGGGCTGAGTCTAGAGTGAGACAGAGAGGCGTCCAGGGGGCAGAAGTTAAGGAAGCACTTGTGGGTTTGTGTATTTACACAAAGACACAAAATATATATGTAGTTTGTTACGAGGAGAACTAAACTATAGTGTTAAGGATGGACAAATAGGTGGTAAAACACTTACATAAAAGCAATAACATCCCTAGCACACAGTGAGGCTGCGGTAATCTAGGAAAGAGGAAGTGCACACCAGAGTTCCAGGTGCCAGCAACATTGTACTTGTCACTCCGAGTGGTGGTTGCACAGGTGTCCATTTTTATAACCAGTCTTTAAACTGTACATATATATTTTATGCACTCACTTTTAGTATGAATGTCACATTTTGCAATACAAAAAAAAAAAGGGCAGAGTTTAAAACCAACGTTTTTCTACTCTAGTGTGATGCATTCCAATACTAATTAGTTTCACACAAAATATAATTAGAAAGTATTTCATCTTTAGTAGGAAAACTTAAAGTGACACAGGAGGTCATAACATTGGGGGCAGAGAAATCAATAAGCGACCAACATGACAAATGGTTCATGGGAACATTTGAGACTCCTCTTGGCATGGATTATTTCCACTTGGGAAGATGTGTTCATCGACATCACATTTTCCGAAGTACATCTTAGGAGGGAATTCAAATAGGGAAACTGAATAATGCAGCCACATCTGTTCATTGCCCATGCAAAATGCTGACTGCTATGCTGATTATACGCACCTCTCTCCAAAGAATCTGTATGTATGAGCCCACTCAGGAAAGATAACACTAGCATACTGCCTTTCAGGCAAAAGCCTGTTTGTGCTTTTACTTGTAAGAGCCCAGGGAAAGAAATGGGGCGTCAATTACACTGCAGCTGGGCTCTTTGAGGTGCCTGAAGCCAGAGAGAAGGAAACAAGCACTCCATTCAACACTAAAGTCAATGCACCGTCCTGCAGAGCCAAGCCGCCTGTCTTCGGTGTTCACCTTGATAATGTTGCCACAGACGTTGTGAAAGCTTTGCTAGCAGTTACACGTCTCTGGGGCGGCAGAGCAGGAAGCCAAGCTGCCCAGCGCAATGCCCACTCTCCCACCAGAGCGTGGATGAGAGGGAAGCCAGATGGATGGGAAACAGACAAGCAAGAGGAAGACGGAAGAAGTCAGTCCTGAGCGTCACCACCTACCTGCTTACCTCATCTCACACTACAGACTTCTCCTGGAATTCCTATGATCTGTATGTGATGAATGGCCCCCAGCACACCTCATTCCTTCTATCGGGGCGCAGGACAGCCTGCCCCAAAATATGCCACAATGGCATATTGTTTTTGAAATTAAAGTTACTTAAGAAACAGCCAATGCAAGAGGGACACTCTGACCCTCCTTTCCGTCTCTCTGAAAGCAGGAAATAAATCTCTCCTGTGAAAGGTGCCCTCCCTGATCTGGAGGTAGAAAGACACCCTTATCACCAGAGATAGGGAACTGGGGCTGAGAAGCCTGTCTTAACAAGCACTGTTACTTCTTTAATTTACTACCCTAAGCCCAAAGCATGTTTAGATTCTTCACTAAACTGAGCACCCAAAACCTAACTTCCTTTGACCTGTCAACTCCTCACAAAGGAATTGTCTCTTTGTCTAAAAAGTATAAAAGCTGCCTGCTTTGGCCGCCTCTTAGGTCCCGTTTTATGAAACCTCCATTTCCATGAATTAAATTTGTTTTTCCTTCTCCTGTTAATCAGTCTTGTGTCGACTTTATTATTAATCCACCCACGAGAACTCAAGAGGAGTAGAGGGGGAATCTCCCCCTCCCTGAGACTTCCCATCTCTCCCTTTTCTTACACCTCCTTCTTCTCTTTCCTCCAGAATATCCGCTTCCCTGCTTAACTGAATCTTATTTATCCATCCAGACCCAGTTACTTCACCAGTTATTTCCTAGGTCAGCCCAGCTCACGGGGATCTCTCGCTCCCCTGAATGCCCAGCTGTAACGTAAACGGTGCGCTCACCGGGCCCTCAGTTACTGGTGCGCTGCTGACTCTCCTGCTACCTCTCTGTCTCCTCTCTGCTCCTTGCCCTCTACTCAACCTGTCAAGGTTGGCACTCCTCAGGACCTAGACCTCCTTCTCTGCTCACTTCTCTCTCTTTACACCATCTCTCCACTCCTGTGGCTTTATTTATGACCCGTACAGGCCAACCCCTCTCACCTTAGAGCTGCACTGTGGGGTCCCCCCTGAGCGGCAGGCACTCCCATATGTGCAATTACCCACTCTCAACGCTTCTCCCTTTGCTGTCTTACAAGCTCAAAAGGTCCAGAACTGAGCCCATCATGTCCTCCCTGCCCCCCGCCCCAAAACCTACTTCTCCCCATGCTGCCTGCTCTGTAGCTCAGTGAATGTCATCATTACCCCACTAGTTGCTGATAGCAGACACCGGAGGGACCATCCATAATCCATAATGTCTCCTCCCCTTTGGCCCAATTGAACAATCACCAAATCCTGTGCGTTTTACCCATGCTTCTTAATTGTGTGTATATCTCTCCACCTCCGTTGCCATCACCCCAGCCCAAGCCAACGCTCTCTCTTACCTGGATGTTTGTGACGATTTTCCACTTCTTCCTGCTGTGCCCAAACCTCTTTCAATCCATTTTTATCACAGCAGCCCAGGCGATCTTTTAAAAAAAAAAATTGTTTTTCTTAAAGACACATACCGTTTTCATACTTAAAGCCCTTCAAATGATTTCCTAATGGTCTTTGGAAAAAAGTCCAAAATAATTACCCTGGCTTCCAAGGCCTTCCATCAGGCTCTCACTTTTCCCTCCAGTCTCATCGCCCTCATTCACTACGTCATTGTAACCCAGCCTGCACGTTAGAACTGCCTCAGAAGCTTTCAAAACTACCCAGGTCTCGGCCCCACCCTGCGAGATCTTTATTGGCTTGGTCTGGGTAAAGCCTGGGTAACGCGAGACTTAAAATGCTTTCCAGGTGATTCTAATGTGCGCTAAGTTTGCGAACCATGGGTTTAGACAGGTGGGCCCTCTTTCAATTACCTGAAAGGTGCAGAGCTCTCTCCTGCTTCTCAGCCTTCACCCTCTCCTCTTCTTCCCATGCTTCCAGTCCCAGTTTAGGTGTTACGGCTTCAGGGATAATTTAACAAAGATTATCCACCCCACCACCACCATCCCAGCTATACATACTCTTCCTTTTTTTCTTAAAGGGGTTTCTTTTTTTAAAAAAATATTTTATTTATTTATTTGGCTGCATCGGGTCTTAGTTGCAGCATGTGGGATCTAGTTCCCTGACCAGGGATCGAAACGGGGCCCCCTGCATTGGGAGCACGGAGTCTTAACCACTGGACCCCCAGGGAAGTTCCTATACATACTCTTAACATCTTTTCATTCTTCTGGAAAAATTACTTGTGGCCATGCCATGTGGAGCCATACTGGAGCAAAACAAAAAAATCAGTGATCCTGTCTTTATATAAAATATTGATATTTTATTCATCACAGATTTTTGCATTAATTTTGAGTTTTTAAAATATTGCATTAAAATATTATTTATATTGATGGATAGCTGAGTTTTTGGAGCCACCTTCAATTGTACACCCAAGGCAAGTGCCTCAGCCACTTCACCTGGTCCTGGCAATTGGTGCGACAGTTTATTTAATGTCTGTCTCCCATGCTGGATGTGAAGCTCTGTGAAGTCGGGGAGCTTCTAGATGTTCACTGCTTTATCCTAAGCACCCAGCCCACCGTGGCAGAGTTGGCGTTCCGTAAATATGTGTTGACGTTACAAGTGACAGTCATCTTTTTACAAGTATGTCTTCTCTTGCCAGTTAAATCATAAGCTCCAACTACAGTATCTGTTCAAGATAGCGTTTACTGCTTCCTCATTCCGTTGGAAAACACAGCCACGTTGCTGGAGCAGTTGACTTCCCTCCCCGCTCAAGGACAGCCTTATCCCTTCCCACCCTCTAGCCTCCTCTCGTCCTGATTTGGCATCTGTCTCAGCCAGTTCATTAAAAGCCTTTGTGTTCCTTGACTAAAATTTTGCTTTTCAAATTAGGTCTATCACAAAAAAGGATTTTCTAGAGAGCTATACTCATGCCAAATAAGTTAAGAGTTGGGGGTGACCATATGTGTCACCTAGAGCATTGCTTCTCAAACTGGAGCATGCACAGGGACCGTGTTAAATGCCGCTCTGATTCAGGAGGCCTGCCGTGGGACCCGAGATCTTGCATTTCTAGCAAGGTTCCAGGCGATGCCGTTGCTGATGCCACCACTGCTGGTCCCCAGGCCACACTGTGAGGGGCATGAACGGAGGCCAGTGTTTCCCACACTCCTATGTTGACAAGCATCACCTAAGCACTAATGAAAATACAGCTTCCCAGACCCCTCCCCTGGAGATTCTAATCCAGTGGGTCAAGGACAGATTCTAGAGACTTTTCTGTTTCACAAGTACCCTGAGTAAGTTTTCTCATCAGAAAATTCGGGATGACACTGACCTAGTCCAAAGCCTTCCTCTCAAGGGAACATAACATCACAGCTGTGGCTGAGCACCTCCAGTGAAGGGAGCTCCCTACCTTTGCAGAGAGCAAATCTGCCTGGCCATAACCTCTCAACCTTAGTTTCTTCCCCAGAAGCCCTAGAGACCAAATTCATGCCTCGAGTAGCTGAAGACAGTCTGGATGTGAGGCTATGAGCTCTTGTGGGCAGAAGTAATGTGTTCATGGGACTGTTTTAAATTTCCCATTTGTTAGATGTTTTACAAAAGCGTAAATACAACATGTGAAACAATGCAAAGATGTATAAAGAGAAATCTAGTCATCTCCCTGCATCCTCCTACTACCCAGCCCCAGCAAGCTCGGGTAGGTAGAGGATGATAACAGCTATTATGTTATTCCTTCAAACATCCACAAGCATTTTTACACACTCGGGGCTCTGTTTGTGGTTTTCACCAAAGTAGAATCATACTATATAGATTACTCTGAAACTTGCTTTTATTTCTTATTTTTCAGTTGATATAGATCATTAATATTCCCGTAAGTTAGGAGAGATGAACATGTTTTTCCAATTTCTGTAAAAGCAGAGTTATACCTGTTGGAGGAGTTAGTGCAGTCTTTCTCCTACTCTTCTGGCTGGGGCCAGTCCCCTGACTCATGTTAACGACTAGGGGTGTCAATGAAATTTTTTGTGGTCATATACCCGAACATATGTACACATTCTTATATAAAGGGGAGTTGTCACTGTTTTACAAACATGTAACCTTATACATTCTTATACATCTTATACAAACCTTATACCTTCTTTTCAGCAAATTGATTTTCTTACTCAATGGTACCTCCTGAAATCTTTCTAGGTCAATTGGTATAGCTCTCAATATTTTTTATGACTGCCTAATATTCTAGATTGTGGAGGTGTCTTAAAATATTCAGTTAGTCTCATACTGCTGTGCATACCTTTCTTCTAGCTTTTTGTCCCTCTGAAAAAGGCTGCATTTAACATTCTTATACATACCTCCTATATATACCCATTTGTGGGAAATATTTCTAGCAGTGGAATTGCTAGGTCAAATGATACATATTTTTCAACATAATGCTTGCTTATGCTTGCATTATGTTGCCGTATTGCTTTCCCAAAATGCTGCAACAGTTTGCAATTCCACCATAGTCTTTGAGCACCTACTCTCTCCTCTCTCCGCCTCTTTCTAGGAGGAAATATTTATTGCTCATTTTAGTTTTTGTCAGTCTGACGGCAGTGATGACTTCATTGTGACTTTAGATTTCCCTACTGAGTCTCAGAATCTTTCCACAGATTTATTGAATTTGCTTTACTGTGAACTAATTGTTCAAATCCCATTTTCCATTGGAATGCTTGTCTTTTTCTTGTCAGTTTGTAAGAACCACATACTTTATGAAATTTTATTAACCCTTTATCTTTCAGCTTCTTTGCAAATTATTTTTCCAAATCTGTTCCTCTATTGCTTTTAATTATAGTATTATTTGTTATACAGTAGTATAAATTTTTCTGAGGTCAGAAAAGTCTAAAATTTCTTTTATAACATGGATTTCCTAACTTGGTTACAGTCTCTTTCATCATCGAATTGCAAATTGTACAAAATGAAGATGTTCTTCTGAGATCTGTATGTTTTCCTACCTTAAAGGCTTTAATCAATTGAAATTTATTTTTGTATATGGTATGAGATTGACTGCCAAGATAACTTTCTTTTATATGGATAAAAGTGGAGCTAACATTTAATATATTAACTTTTCATGCTGAATTCAGATCCCACTTTTATCATAAATTTAAAGTACATACTGGGAACTATTTCTTAATTCCCCATTTTGTTATATTGATCTCCTTGTTTATCTCTATTCCAACCATACTTAATTGATTTCAGAGTTTTTATTTACTTGCTTACAGGGGCTTTATTCATAGTATATTCTTAGGCATCTAGTCTTTCATATGGACTTTAAGGTAATTTTATCCAATTCCCTAAAATCTCTCTTAATATTTTAATTGGGAATCACAATTAGAAATTAGTACAAGGAGAACTGACCATTTTACTATATGAAGTCTCCTCATCCAGGAATATGTTTTCCATTTGTTCACATATTGTTGCATGTCCTTCAATAAGATTTTACACTTTTAATTTATTCCTAAGTATTTTAATTTTTTGTCATCACTGAAAGTGGAACCATCCATTCCATTTCTATTTAATGGAGCTTGTTACTAGCATATAGAATAGATTTTGGATTTTATTTATTCTATATTTGTCCACTTTATCAAATTATTTTATTGACTCTATTTGGTTTTTTATTTTACTAGAATCTCATGGTATACAATCACTTCATCACCAAAAAGACAATATATACTGATTATTTTATTTTTTTCACCTTAGTGGGTTTTCTAGAAGCTCTAAGACAATGTTAACTAAGAATGCTGATAGTAGATACTGCTGTTTCATTCTCGATATTAATTAAAAGTTTTGATGTTTTGCCTGTAGTACATACATATATATTTTTGTATATATATATAGTTTTGGCAAGTAAACCTTATTGTATTTAAGTGGTTTTCTACTATTTTTATTGGAAATGGCTGCTGAAATTTAAAAAATGCCTTTAGTAATATATGAATTTTCTTCTTTAGCTTATCCATAAAATTAATTATGCTGATAGATTTCCTGATACTGACTCACACTTGCATTCTTGGAATAAACCCTCCTTGGTTATAATGTATTTTTTTCATAACATTACTGGATTTTACTTGCTAAAATTTAATTAGAATTTTGCCTTTATTTTCATAACTGAAACTGATGTACACTTTTTTTGGTGCTATCATTTTCATCCTTTGATATTCTATAGCTTTCGTCTATGGCCTTGAATAGTTTAGATAATATAGTGATGATCTTTATAATTTTTTTAATTAGAGAAACATTCAGCTGTGAAACCATCTGGTCATTGTGCTTTTACATATAGTCTTCTTAGGTTTTCAGCTTTTACTTGTTTATTGCATATAACATTTATATAAATTACTTATGTGAAACACCTGCAAGCAGGAGAGGTACAAAGTCACTCATGATAATGAGTAAATGAAAGCATAACATTAAAGCACAGGAAAAATCCCAAACGAAACTGAACTTTTAATAATTCTACCGGAGGTAACTAAGCAAACACACACATTTTTCATGGGAAATAAGATTAAGCCACAGGAATGCTATGTAGCGCTCTGTCCAACATTAAAAGTAGATACAATCCACCAAAGGCGGGTGAGGCGGGTGGAGCCAATAGCCTATAAAGTGAAAAAGTTTAGTTAACTGTCAGGAGAGACTATGTTGGAGAATGGTAATAGTTCTCCCAGTTTCTAGACATACTCTGCTTAAGAGTATATTTAAACACTACATTTTTAGGAAGTACATTTGGAATAATTCTAAGTTCTTACAATTCCTGGTGGACTGGGGCATTCATTCATAGAATGGCTGATGCTCTTTGAGCAGCCCATGTGTTCGTTTTCTACCTTATACTCTCAAATTCTAAATGGAATAAGAGGTACAATGAGTCTATTACTTATTACTATTCTGTATTTACTAACAATGACATACAATGAGATATGTGTAGGCCCATAAAATAGGCCCATTGATTTAGGAATATAAAGTAAGGTAAGGAATCTAATGCACTTTAAAAAATAAAAAGTTTCTAAAAGGAAACATTTAATGCAATATAATAAGTTATTTCTGTGAGATCTTTTCTGACTCTACTGTCTTCTAGGCTGGAATAAAATTAGTAAAATTAAAAGATCACGATAACAAGCATAAATTACACCTGGGTTATTATGAGTTTAGAGAAAGAGAGAAAAAAAGAAAGAGAGGAAAGAAGGAGGAAAGGAAGGAAGGAAGGAAGGAATGGAGGGAGGGAGGGAGGGAGGGAGGAAGGGAGGGAGGGAGACAGGACAATGCTGTTTTTCTCCCTAAGAAGGAAGCTTTTACTTTTATAGTCAAGACCAGGTCTAGAGTGAGGCAAGCAAGGCACCTCCCTCACAAAACCCGAGGAGGCAAGAGATGCAAGTGCAAGCCCTCACTTGTGCGACCCCAAGAGTGAGCTCTCCTTTACGAGTGAGGTGCCCAGGAGACCAGGGTTGGCACTAGCACGACCTTGTCTTCTTGAATTCTGTGCCCTGGGCAGCTCACTTGCCTCTCTATAGTCCCAGTTCTGTTTATGTTAAATTCTTCTTCATATTTTCTTTTGCTTAATTTTGTTCTTTTCAGAGAACTTGCTGCATAGAAAAACAAGTACTTTTATTTTTAGATATTCTTCTTTAATGATAATGGTGTGTCTGTTTATAAATTTTCCTCTGAGTACAGATTTTGATAGAAAGCATGCCCTTTTTTACTGCTTTCTAGGTAGTTTACAGTTTTAGCTCTATTTTCCTCTTTGCTCTAAAAGTTATCCAAGAACTATTCCTTAATTTATAAGTAGGCTAGTCCAGACACTTTTAAATTTTAAATTCCTCCTTGTCTACTATTAACTTTGCTATTTCTGTTTTCTTTTTTATTATATTTGCTTGGTATCTTTGTCCATCCCTTTATTTTCTTTATACTTTTTTATTAAAATTTTGTTTTAGATATTTTTCTTCTAGATGTTGTATAGCTGGTTTATTTATATTTCCAGCTCAATCTAAGCGTCTCTTTTAGTGGGAAAATCCAGTCCTTCCACATTAAGCGTTATAATTGGACTCCTCCCACTAACTTATTTTATTTAGTTATTGGCTTATACTACATTATGTCTTACTTTTTTTTTTTTTGCGGTACGCGGGCCTCTCACCGCCGCGGCCTCTCCCGTTGCGGAGCACAGGCTCTGGACGCGCAGGCTCAGCGGCCATGGCTCACGGGCTCAGCCGCTCCGCGGCATGTGGGATCTTCCCGGACCGGGGCCCGAACCCACGTCCGCTGCATCGGCAGCGGACTCTCAACCACTGCGCCACCAGGGAAGCCCTATTTCTTACTTTTAATTGTATTTATTTTTGAAGATTGATCAAATTGTTATTATTTCCCCTTTCCATCTTGTTAACATGACTTCTCTTGTGGATTTTCATTATATTTCCTGTTAGTTTCCCTTTCCTGTTGCTCATGATCAGATAGTTAACTATTTCTTTACCATTTTTTTAAAACCAGGTCTATATTTCTCCCACCAAAATACTCTATTCTTCCACCATTTCCACTCCAAACTTTAGCATATATTCACTCCCCCCACCAGTTCCACAGCCACTCCACAGATGAGACCTTCGGGAACATTTCCCTCCTTTCCACCCACACCTGATGCCCAGATTTGCTGAGATTCACTTATTGTTTTTAGTTCCAGACTTTTTAGAGGAGTTGTCAAGGCAGGTGGTAATGTGATCAATTCAGGAAAAGAATAGACTTACAGAGTGGAGAGTCCAGACGCACTCAGCAGTCAGAGGGATGAGCTTCTCTGGGCTTTGTGTATTCAGGTGCTGGTAATATACTCTGATTTGGGGCATGGTCCCTTTTACCATTCTCCTAAGATTTTGTATTCTCCTGGCCCTTCCCCATGCTTATGGCGACTTTGACTCTGAGTTTGTTTGGTCACTAAGTAAAAGAAACTGGTAAGGTATTCTTGGGTTATTTTGCAAGACTGAGTGAACTGAAAGTACAGGTCAATTTCCATACAGTTCCATACAATTTCCTAGGTCAATTTCCATACAGTTCTTTTCTCTCGTTGGTCGGCAGTTTTCTATATTGTAGCCTACAGTGTTGTAAATAAGCAGTCCAATGCTAGGCTGATTCTTTCTTCTTTAGAAGTAACTGTTCTTTTCTGGGGAAACTTGTAAGATTTTTCTCTTTTCTTGTAGCTCAGAGATATAATATGCCTAGAAGCCTTTTTTATCATCAGTCTTTCCTGGAACTCTGTGAGATGCAAATCTCTCTTCAGCTAAGAAACTTTTCTTATCTTACTGATTGCCTCTTCTGTTGTATTCTCTACCCCCTTCTCGATTTCTATCCCTCTCCTGATTTATCTCTCTCCGTGTTTTTGCACTGTGCTTTGAGGTGTCTCTCTTATCTTATCTTTGAGGTCAGACATCAACCATGACCACTTTCTCCTTCAGTTCAACTCTTGAAATTTTTACATCAAAATCTATTTTGGTCTCAGAAAATCTGTGTGTGTGTGTTGCACTTAAATCTCCTTAAGTTTCCTTATTCTTTTGGTTCAAGTTATCTATGCCAACAGCTATTTCTGTACTGAGGGCTCTACTTGTAATTCGTCTCCCTGGCTGCTGGGCCCCATTAGGAAGCTTCTTTTCCTTTGTTTGCTCACTGGGGCGCTGTCCCATGTATTGGGATATCTTAAGGGCAGCATTCCCAAAGCAGTGGAAGGAACAGTGGTCTCAACCTCCCCTGGCCAAAGCTTAGAGGCAGATGGGTTGCCAGTCCTCTGGTGAGGCAGTAGGAGGAAGCCCTTCCCAGTCTTTTCACCTCTTCAACTCAGGATTGGAGGCAACTCAGCCCATGTGCTCAGCTCCTCAGGAACCAGGGGGACCAGGTACACTCATAGGGACCTTCCCCCTGGTACTCTGTCAGGAGGCTGAAGCCTCACCAACATTCCAGGCATTGTCTGCCTCCCAACAGCTGCTTTCCTCGGGAGAGGCAGGTGGGTTAAATTGCAAGTAGAAAAAATGCACCATGTGTCCAAGCTGCTCATCTTTCCAGAACCTCCTATTCCTCGGTTGTCATGTCTCAGAACTTCCTCACTTCTTGTTTATTTTTGCATTCCAAAGTGCTCAATAAATATGACTGAATAAATGCCACCACTCCTACCACAAATATTCTCTGGTGCAGCTTCTAGTCATTATGATGTTTTTAGAAGCTAACTCAAGCTGGCTTAAATAAAAAACTTTTTTTTTTTTTTTTAATCTCACGAAAAAGGAAGTCCCAAGGTAGGGTGGGCTTCAGGGAAGCTTGATTCAGCAGCTCTTCAGTGTCATTAAGGTGAAGGGTTTTTTGTTTGTTTTTTCTCTCTCTGCCCTGCATCCTCGATGTTGGCTTCATCGGCAGGCTGACAGCAAGTTGGATGCTGCAGTCTCAGGCAGCACTAAGACCTGACAACACCCAGAGAAAGAAAAGTCAAAATCCCCTCATATTTTACTGGCCAGATTGGGTTACATGCCCATTCCTAAACTTGCAAAGGTGATGGGGTTGACCAAAGACCAATCATCCCTAACCACATGGCTGTTTGAGGAGAAGATACTTAAAATCGGGGAATACCTACTCACAAGCTAAATGTTCTCAGCTCAGTGAGCAGTTTTTCACATGAAAACAAGAATAGTTGGCACTTGAGTGCGCATCATATGCAAGGTGCCTTACATTCTCATTTAATCCTTATCACAGTCCCCTGAGGTGGCTAATAGTACTATCTTTGTTTCACAGATGAGAGACCTAGAGCTTAACTAACTTTAACAAGGTCACACAGTTAATGAACCATCCTTTTCCTCCTTACAGATTCTATATGTCTGAATGCAGCTTAGCATTGCAGTTGGCAACGGAACACGTCCTTTACATATTAATTCCCTTGGACCCCATGTGAGAGCTATAATTAGGTACTCTACTTTAAGACAATGTCTTTCATATTAAGGAGCCTGGTAACTAGCTCACAGTGCAAATCATTAACGGCAGACCCCTAGTGGTGCTCTCCCTCATGCAGCTGGGGACAGTGCAGACCTGTTCAGCCATGCCTTGGAGTTTCACCTTTGTTTATTATATATCAAGCTCAAGAATCCTATTATAAAACAAGCCTCATGATCTTATTATGATACAGCTGAGCCCTATGTGGCTTATGCATTCATTTTATATATTCCCTTAGAAACTAACAAGTATCTGGCAAGTCAAATATTTTATACTCCTGAGTACACATGAAACTCTTTGCACTTGGGGCTTTGTAGTTTGCATGTGTGTGTGTGTTCAATTAAGTGTTTGCCTATTAAAAGCAGTAAACACTCATGGAACACAGAACCTATGGGGGGAAGGTACCACCTGAAGTTCTACTCCTCAACTCTCCTCCCACTCCCAGGATAATCAGTTACTATGTGGTGTATTTCTATAGATTCCTTGTGCAATGCATTTATTTTTAATTTAAAATAATTATTTATAGTAATATTCAAATATACATAAAAGTAGAAATGTAGTAAGGAAGCCCAATGTTCCCATCACCCAACTTCAACAATGACAATGTGTTGTGCTATATTTGACATCACACTATATGTAGTAATTTTTTAATTTATTATAAAGAGAATCTTTCATAAAAAATTCACATACAGAAGGATAAAAAGTAAAAAAATCCTATTCCTCTCCCAAGACCCTTAATTCCAGTGCTCAGAAATAATTTAACAGTTTTTAATTTATCAATCTAGAGATTTTCTATACATAAATTATATATTTTTACAAACTTCAAAAATTTCACACACAACAAATAAGGCCACACATATTTATTAATACTTGCTTTTCCACTTACTGTATCTTGGAGGTCTTTAGAAGTAAATACCTAGGAGTGGCCTGCATTCTTCAGCAGCTACAGTGTCCCACTGGAAAAGATACTTAACCCAGGAAGGTGAAGTGGGTGAAAGCTACTTGATTTGGAAGATATGTAAATTCTATCTCTAAAGCCAGAGGTTTACAAAGTGGGTCGTGTACACACCTAGGTGTGTGCAAAAAGACTCAATGGACTGTGGGAGGAAATACTGTAGCTTCCATTAATTTTTAACTCATCCCTTTTAATTTTTGCATATTTTAAAACAGTAACAGTATAACACATTTGCATTATTTATAAATAAATATTTCCATGTTACGAATGTGTACTCAAGATTTTTAAGTATGGAGTACACGATGAACAAAGTTGGTAACCACACTCCCAGGCCACCGTTTTAGTGAGTGCCACAGAAAGCAGGGATGCTTGTAAGGCTCAAAGAGTAGGCTGACGGCCCGACCTCTGACAAGTGTTTTAACAGACGTGAAACTCCAAGCCTCCTAAGAATTCCTTAGGTAAGGAGAACCTGTCCCTGGCTGGGGATCCTACAAAAGTACCCACCATCTAAGCAGCAATACACAATGTTTCTACAGAACCCAGACTCTTGCGGGGGGGCGGGGTGGGTAGGGAGGAAGAGCAGGACAGTTTCCTAGTTTGGGAGCACCCTGTATTATGATAAGACCCTTTTAGAGACCAAAATCAGTGTTAGTATATTAGATGCTCTTAGGGAAACCTCGTTTAAAAAAAAAAAATCAATAAAAATAAACAAAAACCCATTTGACTTTTACTCAGCATTTTCATTTGACCCTGGAATCCATATCCTCTCCCAACTTTTTTTTTTTTCTGAATAGTTATTCTAAAACCTATGGAACTAGAATTTTGTGGGAAAACTTTACAGAAAAACGTTGCTCTGGACTTTTGCTGCAGGAAAACACCATCTACAAAATGTTTAATTTCTACCTTTTATTCTGAAATAGTCAAATAAAAAATACCATAGATGATTTAGCTAAAGAAAACAAACACTTATCCACACATACAAAGAAGCTAGGGCCTCCCCATTTAATTTCCAATTTGAGCTTTCTTAATCCATTTCTTCTGCCAGGAGTTATATATAATTTGTTGCTTATACACTCCAAAGCTAAGCTGTGCTTTTCCCATTTGTGCAAAACATGGTGGGTATATTTTATATTCTATAAATACAAATGCATATTAGATTTTTTTATCATTTTATTGTGCTTTGCTTTATCACTCTTCACAGATACTGTGGGTTTTTTGTGTTTTTTTTTTTTAACATCTTTATTGGAGTATAATTGCTTTTTAGATTTTGAAAGGAAATTTCTCTCTGGGGGTGAGAGGAGGAGGTTGTGCTGCCAGGGGATTTAGAATCAGAGACGTTAAAAAGTTACAAGTATGAGTGTTGGTAAGGTTGTGATGAGACTAACTTTTGTGCATTATTTTGTGAAATTAGCTTTATTGCCTATTTTGCAAAGCACACACCCTTTACTAAAATACAAATGTTTATTGAACACTTACTATAGCCAAGTTCAAGGAAATGGAGATCAATAAAATTCAGCCCTGTGGAAGAACCAAGAGGGAAGAGACAATCCAAGCAGAGGGAAAAGCATACCCACTGGCATGGAAGTACAGCAGAGCATGAAACAGTCAAGGAACTGCCCTGCAGTTAAATCATTTCTAAAAGTGACAGCAAGTTTGGCACTAGTTAGAACAAACTTTTACCAAAACTTCAAAACTCAGCTCAAGCATATAGCCTTTGGAAAGTCATCTTGGCTCACATATGCATCGCCTCTGAGTTTCTAGCTATATTGTATTTATATAGTTTACAGCACAAATCCCTCTGCATTATGATTGTTGGGTTTTTTCTTTCCACTAGATTACGAGCTCCCTGAGAGCTTGGATTACAGTCCCTGGGGGGCTGAGGACAAAATGCAGCAGGTTGATAAGCAAATGGGAAATGAAGCAGCCACTGAGAATAGATGATCCTTTCAAGAGCTTAGCTTGGTTGAGGCAGGATTACACTGCAGTGTGGTATGTGCTATGACAGAGAATGTACAAAATGCCAGAGAGCAGCAAATCAGAGAGACACCTCACTCAGCACGGTACGAGGTTAGATGTCCTGATTCTGAGTTTATCGTAGTCATGACACAGATGTCGAGGTCTGAAAAGCCAAGGGCCTTTCACAACTCTCAAACTTTTGCCGATATCCTTAGGAACCAAGTAAGACATCTGCCAAAGTACAAGCCAGCTCTTCAGTAAATGAATACGTTATGCAAAAATGAAAAATCATTAAAAAAAATACACAAAGGAATATGAATGGCTGGGTTCACATATAATGAAATCAAGAGCAAAAAATATTACCTTTCCCCAAAGAAAAACTAGTTATCAGTGCCCAATATATAACCATTCACTATTAATAAAAACCCTATTTGACCTATTTAACCTCTCTTCCTCCTTCAGGTTTGGGCTCAAGCATCACTTTCTTGGGGACACATTCCCTATCCTTCCTGACTAGGTCCCACCTCCTTCCTCAATCCCATCCCTGCATGATCAGCTCTTGGACCACCAAGGCCTCCCCCTCACAGCACTTACCATGGTTGTTACTGACATGTCTCCACATGATTATTGGATTAGTATCTATCTCACCTCCCAGCCATAAGCTTCACAAGGGCAGGGACACTGTAAGTTCACTACTGTATTCCTATCATCCAGCAGAGGTGCTGGTGCAACCAGGCGCTGAACACAGATCTGTCCAATGAATAACTGAGGCAAGCAGTCCACACAAATCAGCACATGCATACCACATGAGCAAAGAATTCCAAACATTCTGAAAAGATTTCAAGGGAGAAGGGGAAAAAAATGGTTAACAGGTCAATTAAGTTAATCAGAGGTCCTACTAATAGGGACTTGCAAAAAATAAAAACTAACTACAATCATAAAACCAAAGTAATGAAAAATTAATCATAATATATTGATACTTTATAAAAACTGGCCTTTTGGGTTCAGAAATACAGAGGCTAACTGTCCAAAAGGCAGGGGGAAAAAAATAAAATATACATCGAGAATGAAGAATAAAATTGTCTAATTAGTTCAGTATTATCAAATAGGCTTCACTTTTCAAAATGATGTCTAAAACTCACACAGTGGAAACACATTTTATATAAGACAATCTACACTAGATCAAATTATTCTAATTTCTTTACATTGAGAACAAACAATTCCAAGATATCTTTTTAAAGATACATTTCCACCTCCAGGGATCATTATCATTTTAAAAAGAAAGAGTAGAATCTAGTTTACTGTACTGAGCTACTTAACACTTATTCTAACATAGGACACACAGGTTAAATATGGATCATCTGATCATACTCCCTGACATGTTTTAACAGAAAATAAATATTTTCTTTAACTAGCTGTTAGGCCCCACAAAAACTAGTGAGCCAGGAGGGATCTAATGGCCTGCTTGACATGATTGCTGAATGACTGATAGCTTCAAGCATTCACCCTAGCAGTTGAAATCAATTAATCACTCATTGTAACTGGAGCAGAATATAATTAACTATGTTTGCTTGACTGGTTCAAGTATAATTCCACTAAAATCACTAAAAAAAACCCATTAGGAATATAGGCCATTATCAGGAATTGTTGCTAAAATAAAAACAGTAATGAATGAGCGTCTATATGAACTTAATTCACGTTTTTAAAAATTTTTTAAGAAAATGTTGAATACAAGCACAGGTGGAGAAAACAGTATAATGAGTCCCCAAGGGGCCGTCACCCAGCTTCAACAATTACCAACTCACGGTTAGTCTCGTTTTCAGCTTTACTCCCATACCCTACCCAACTGCAGCTCGCAATTTTTTTTTTTTTAAATATCGGCTGTATAAGCCTTCTATTTTATTTTATTTTTTAACTATTTTAATTTAATTTTTTAATTTTTGGCTGCGTTGGGTCTTCGTTGCTGCGCCCGGGCTTTCTCTAGTTGCAGCGAGCAGGGGTTAACTCTTCCTTGCGGTGCGTGGCCTTCCCATTGCGGTGGCTTCTCTTGTTGCAGAGCATACACTCTGGGTGCGTCGGCTTCAGTAGTTTCGGCTTGCGGGCTCTAGAGCGTAGGCTCAGCAGTTGTGGCGCACGGGCTTAGCTGCTCCGCGGCATGTGGGATCTTCCTGGACCAGGGCTCGAACCCTTGTCACCTGCATTAGCAGGTGGATTCTCAACCACTGAGCCACCAGGGAAGCCCTGCAATTTTTTTTTTAAGCAAACCTAAACACAGTATCATTTCACTTTTAGGTCTTCAGCGTGCGTCTCTAAAAGGGCTCCTTTTATAAATGTAACCATGATACCATTATCACACCTAAAGATAATTGCAAAAATCCTTAAAATCATCGTATATCCAGTTAGTTTTCCAGTTCCTCATTTTTCATTATTTATATCAGGATCCAAATAAATCCATAGGTTGTATTGGCAGATAAATCTCAAGTCTCTCTTAATCCATCTTCTTCTTTTTTCCTTGCAAGTCAGTTGTTGAAGAAACAGGGTCATTTGTCCTGTAGTTTTCCAGTCTGGGTTTTGCTGATTGAAGCCTTTGTGGTATCATTTAACGTGTCCCTTTATTTCCTGTGTTTCTAGTACAGAGGCAGTTAGACCCGGAGGCTTGACCAGGATCAGATCGGACTTTTGGCAGGACTGCTTCAGAAGTGGCACGCGTGTCTCCATTAGGAAGCACAAATTATTGGACTGCTGTCTCTTTGTGAGGTTAGCAGCCACTGCTGCTTGTTGTCTGGGTCCATTAATCATTGTTGGGGTACAATGGTGATATTGTATCACTTCTCTATTACCTGGAATATTTCTTTAAGAGCATATTCCAAAGGTAACTAGGATTTTGTAAACTATCATCATTAACTCACAGAGTAAAACAGCTTTGGCCAGTGGAAACTTCTTCAAGAGGCCTCCTTCAAGTGGCTTCTCTTGTTGCAAAGCACGGGCTCTAGGTGCATGGGCTTCAGTAGTTGCAGCATGCAGGCTCAGTAGTTGTGGTGCACGGGCTTAGCTGCTCCACCGCATGTGGGATCTTCCCAGACCAGGGCTCTAACCCGTGTCTCCTGCATTGGCAGGCAGATTCTTAACCACTATGCCATCAGGGAAGCCCCTAGAAAATCCTTAACCCACTTTTAATTCCACTTTTAGGAATTTATTTTATTATTAGACTTAGGATTTTCCTTAAAGGACTGTTTAAAATAATGAACAATCTGAAAACCTAAATATCCAAACAATAGGGAATTGGTTAATTTTTAAAATGTATAATACATCCATAGAATGAAATATTTACAGTCATTAAAGTGATGCAGATACAATATCAATGTATTGTTAAATAAGAAAGGTGCACAGAAAAAAGTCTTAAAGACTATATCCCAAAATGTTAACAATGCAAACTGGGCTGTTCTCATGTTTCCACTGGCTGGTTTAGGATTTGGCTACTTGTCCATCTGCTTTCCAGTCTCCAAAATGTTGTTATCTTCTCTTCGATATTTCTTATCCTTGTTGGATATGCTGTTTTCTTTCCCCAGTCACTATGATTTTAGCAGAGATTTTAGGAAAGAGCAGAGGCTAATAAATACTTTGCTCAACCCTCCATTTTTACCTACTATCATGTTGCTTTTCATAGGAGAGAACAGATACTCTGAAGAGCTTATCAATTACAAAATATATGAATTTCTACTGAAAATAGTGCATACATGTATGTACCTAAGACAAACAATACAGTAATACAGAATACAAGGGTTCATTCACTTGTATCCTAATAATGTAAAGGGTTGGATACATAAATGATAGTGGAAAAACTAAACTGGTAATAAACAGAAAAAATGATTCAAATGGAAGCTGTTTTCAATAAAGAACATAAAACCAGAAATGCTGAAACTGAAGCTGAGCTCTGTGGGGCAAACTAGTTATCCTTTTTGTTACTTAGAAGTCAAAAGTGTTTTTCAGGAAACTACAATTTCTTGCGACTGTAGTGACTTCTCTAGAGAAAAACTGTCCCTGGCAGCTGCTTTTAAACTATATCCAACTTCCTCTCTAGTTTTGGGAGACCTTGACTCTTTAAATCTGGATAAAGAACATCACTTCTTATACCCCTGAAGATGGGCTGTCCAGTTCTGTAATGGACTTACTACACTGACCCTCTTGTACTTTCGATTAGAAATACTTAGGAAATTAAAAGCCTTCCCAAGCACATGCACCCACAGTTGCACAGCTGCCAAGGACACTAATCTAATCCCATCTTTGGAGAAATAATAATCATTAGGTCTTAAAATGTACAGACCACAGGGACCGAAATAAGAACTCGAGAGTAGTCTGCTCAATTTGGAGAAATCTTCAGTTTTCACTAGTCTGTGAATATAACAAAAATGAAGTACCTCAAAGCACAAACTGCTGAAGACACCTCAGAAAACAAGACTTATCGGATAAAGCTGCCATTCCCTAAAAGAAGTCCTTCCCAAAACTGTATATTGCCTGACACTATGGAGAACACTAGTCCAGAAACTGTAATAATTTATTCTATTGCTGATTTAATCTAAACAAAATTTAAATATTCAATTGTAAGTAAAAATAATAAATTTGCAATCATCTGAATCAATATTGATGGTTTCATAAACAAACATAACTAAACATAATATACATTTTGAGGTTTCTAAATTAAAGTAACTAAAAAGTATTGCATATTTTTACTCATTTAACAAATACTACTTATTTAAGCTGGCCTCAATATATTTAATAAATAACTAAGTAACCTGGGTTTGGGGCAGATTGTTCTGTGAAGGGCACCACTCTGGGCTTACAATTCTTTTTCTAGGTAAGACTGAAATATCAAGTCTCTTCTTATTTGCTATGAATTTGACAAAGCAGGAAAACGTGGCTCAAATTTAAATACACTTATCATCAAACTAGACTTTTAAAATAAATGAGGTACTTAGCATTCAAAACTTTGCAAAATATATATGAGACCAGTTTCCAAAATGACTCAGCTCTTCTGCTAAGACAGACACGTTTAAGCACTTTGAATATTGATTAAAAATAATGTAAAGCAGTTGAGACTGTTTTTCAAACGTTCATTGTGTGTAGAAAGAGATATCTAATAATAAAATTTTTACAGGAAGTCTTAATTAGGAATAAAGATATCTGTACTTGTGTGGGAAGAGACCATCCTTTCTGCTTAACAATCTCTTTCATTTAGTAAGGACAAGCTGCCTTGCCGGAAGCTTCTTTTGATAGTTCTCAGAGCTCAAAGAGTAGGAAACCTTCAAGACGATTTCATCAAGTCTATTTATTAATGCATTTCAAGTTTCAAAAAACCTTACATCTTTGCACAATACTTTATTTTTTGCAATTTTTAGTAAAAATTTCCAAAGTGAACAAAAAGATACTGTATAAAACACAGTGGACATTAAACTGACAGTAGTATTAGATCTCATTTGTCTTGATCCTTTTGTTTTACCACATCTTGATTTGCAGTGGGAAGAGTTCAGTGCACGCATCTCTTTTCAGAAAACATTTAACTTAGACTCAAAATAAAATGGGGCAGTATGTACCTGCCAAAACCCTACCACAGGATAACATTACAAGCAAAAAATGTACATGTTCCAAAGTCTACCACACTCAAGAAGTTACTAATAACTCTTGCAGAGTAAAAGTCACCATTTTAGAAATGCAAACCCACTTCCAACCTTTGCACAGTCCGAAAACAAAGGCATTTAAATGATTTAAAAGCAATTACATATATATCTACCTACCTGTTTGTTTAGAATTATTTATAGTCTATCTGGGGTTTCATGTACAAAATTCGTCTCTAAATCATGTACAAAAAGCTGTATTTTGAAAAAAGTCACCACATACTGTACAAGTTTACAAGGAAGAGATCCCATTATTTTCTCTAGCATTTTTGGCCTTGCTGGCTTGCGTCACATTATGAGAATGATTGTGTAAACCTTATACTCTTAAGAAAAAAAGAAAAAAGAAAAAAAGCCAAACACAAATCTTTTCAACTTTCCCTAAATCTGCCTCCTATGTGAAGCCAGGAAAATCATAGCTGTTTACTTCTAATTTAAGTGATATAGCTGGAAAACAAGAAGCAATAAATATGTCACAAGCTTAAAGTTTTTTTGTAATGCCCCCTTCCATTCCTGCATAGCAATAAGCCTGTTAATACATTAAATGCTTTTGCCTTCTTTCTTTAAAAAGCCAATTATTTACACCTGTTTAAAAAATAAATTTGGAATGGGACATTGTGCTGTTTCACCTTCATTGCAGTTAAAACATTTTAGGGAAAAAAAGTGTCAGAAGGCCTAGCTACAATTTTAACTACTGGTTGAGCAAATCACTCTTCTTTAGTGGTTACCAATGATCAGTGATGATATGTTGAAAACGCTGTTCAAATATTTTGATAAAATAGAGACACAGCTTTTCTTTTCTGTATCAGACAAAACCAAAACATAATTAGCATACAAATAAGAGGCTGCAAATAAAAAGAATCATTTCACTGACATAACTGCTACCAAACATGAATAAAACTTCACCTATCACTTCAAAAATGGAATTGAATTAGAAAGTTTAAAATAAGTAAGTGGAAATCAGACATTTACATGAAGAACTAAGCCTGAAGTAGTAGTATGCTGCATATGTCCAGTTTGCACTTAACTGTGTTCTTCAGCATCGTCACTCTTGTGCTCTTAGCAGCCATTTGATAAAACAAAATGAATATCAGAACCAACTCCATCACAAGGAAAAGGTAAACTGATTCTCGTTTCAAAACTGCCTGTGTAAAGCATTACAGAATCCTGGACCACTGAATACCACCATTCTCTGTTATCCTGAGTATGTCAATTAAACAGTAATTTTTCATTAAGAGCGGAAAAATTTTATAATACAAAGAAACATCCATATTGCAATTTCTGT